AGTAGTTAAGATGATTTGTTTGTTGCCCTTGTAGAGGAACTAGGTTTAGTTCTCAGTTCCATGGCTTCCAGCATCTTCTTTTGGCTCTGCATGCACCTGCATGTATGTAGTGAATATTAATGCAAGCACACAAATTCTCACATGCACATGCACTTACGCACTAAATAGATAGATATGCAAATAAATAAATCTTGTTCAAAACAGAGCAAAAGAAGTCAATGGATACACATCCCACAATCCAAAACCATAGTTGTAGGAGGCATGGAGGTCTTTATGCCCATGGAGAAGTTGTAAGGCACCCAGGAATGTTAGCACACAGGTTTGTTCTTTCAAGGGAAGAAATGCAATACCTATTATCTTCCTAGAAATCTGGGAACAGACATACATTCTAGCCTGGTGACCTTTGCAACATCTGTGGAGCTGGAGCACACACTGGGCCCTCCTTGAGGCCCATATCATAAGCTTGTTTTTCTTAGTCAATCTCTAGAACTCCTATTTAAGGAAGGGGTCACATGTACTTTACAGAGTTCCAATGTAGTTATGTCTAATTTTTACTTAGCTTACTTTGTTCCTCAAAAAGATTTGTGTAAGCTTTATTGTGCACATGGCATTGAGTTAATTATCACTAGAAAAGCTTTACCAAATTGTGCCATGCTTAAATATCCCTAAAAAAAAAAAATACTTGGGGTCAGACTCCAGAATCTGAACCAACACTCACTACTTTGACCTAAACTGATGGCTTGCTTCTTATGGATTGTCACTCTGCTGGCATGGAGGTTGCAGAGATAGATGCCTATGAATACCTGAGTGTTAGCTTCCTCTGTCCAAGGGACAAATCCCTAGAAAATAACTGGGTAGCATTTCTAATGGAGAAATACTTATAAGACTCTAAAACAAGTCTTTATAAACAAAGTTATACTTGCAGGCAAGATGAACCCAAATACGACTGCACGTGGTAGAAGTTTTAGGATATCAGACAACAAAAATGGAAGAGAGAAAATGAGATGACAGCTCAAGTCTGAGAGTAGTTTTACTGCAATGGAAATTTCACAGGTGGACATACTGCAGAGAGAGTGGTAGCTAACACAAGTGAATGTGAGTTCTAGTCAGGAAGCCATTACTCTTGGTTAATTAGCATCCTTGACCTGAGACATAGGGTTCTAATGGTAGAACAATGGCTCTAAAGTAGTACATAAGGCTCTCAGTGATGCAATCAAGAACATGTTTGTGGGGCTAGGGCGATAGCTTAGCTGATAAATTGTTTGATGGACAAATAAAAGGTATTGAATTTGTTTTCCAGAACCCACTCAAAATAAAAGAAACTCAGGTGTGGTAGTGTATACTTGTAATCCTAGAACTGGGAAGATGGACACAGGAGGCGTCTTGGGACTTTCTGGCCAGACTCCCCTACTAAATGAGCTCTAGGCCAATGAGTGACCCTGTCTCAAAAAAAAAAAAAAAACAAGGTGAACAGAGACTAAGGAAGACCCCAAGTTTGTTATCTAGCCTCCACCTGCACACATGTACACTACACACTGGCACAAAACATGTTTGCACATGCTAAAATATGCGTGTATACATTTATTTTTTTCTGAGACAAAAGATACATATTTTCGTGAGCAAAGTAGAAGATACCCTCAAAGCCAAAAGTTTTAGCATTAGGGATAGATGACACCTTAAACTAAATCTCTGCCTCTTCCCCCTTTACATGTGAACTCTCCATGTTTTCATGACTTGTACATTCTAAAGCAGCCCTCTCTCACGGGCCTATAGCCCATTCCTTCTGAAGTAAGCTGTTGAGGGCTGTGCACAGCATTCTACTCATCTACATTAGAGTCTAAGTTCAGAAACAGGTGTACCTCTACATACAGTTATTAAAGTGGTCACCTGTATTTGATATGAATTAAAAAAAAAACTAATATAATCTCCACAACAAAAATCATGACCAAACATAAGGCTTCATCCTGCATGAAGCAGAGCCCAAGGAACCACGGCCCTGTCAGACTTTAAGAACCTGCCAGGCGCTGGTGGTGCACACCTTTAATCCCAACACTTGGGAGGCAGAGGCAGGTGGATCTCTGTGAGTTTGAGGCCAGCCTGGTCTACAGAGTGAGTGCCAGGATAGGCTTCAAAGCTACACAGAGAAACCCTGTCTTGAAAAACCAAAAAAATTTCAAGAACCCATACTGCAAGCCAGGAACTACTGAATACCTGAAATGACTTCTCTTGTTGTACAACAATGTATCAACATAAAACAAATAGCAATAACCTGACTTTATTTACAAGTTTTATATTTTCTGTGGCAAGTTTTTCCTTTCTTTCTCTTAAAATACAAGCATAAAATATTAGTTTTATTCACTGAGTCACTGGCCCCTCCATGAATTTTACAACTTAAATGCCCCACTCCTAATGTCTGAGCATGTAAAGGATCTAGAAAGATTAGAGAGATGGCTCAGTAGGTAAAGTGTTTGTCATTGGAATGTGAGAACCTGAGTTTAGATGCCCTGAGCCCACAGAAATCTGGAACTTTCATACTTATCTGCAGTCCCAGGAATCCTGTGTAAAGACTGGAGTTGAGATGGGGGAATCCCTGGAAGCTTTGTGGCCAGCTAGCTTGACATATACAGCAGCAAACAGAAAGACATCATTTCAGACAGGATAGACAGGTAAAATTGTCATCCAAGTCTGTTCTTTGGCCTCCAAATGTATACTGTGTTATGCTGATGCTCACATTCACACACACACACACACACACACACAGGGTGGGGGGGTAGAGAGACACAGAGAGGCAGGGAGAGACAGAAAGAGCTTTGTAAAAAGCTAAAAGCTTAAATAAGATCTTTACTACTAATGTCAGGCAAAATTTTCACTCAAGCTGTTGCCAGCAGTACTCCTAGGGACATAGAATTTGTGCTTCTTCAGAACATAAGGTTTGCAAAATAGTTATCGTTTAATCTTTATTGTTTTCTATGTTAGCTTCCTAAAATTTATTCTTAAATATTTATAGGCGGACCAAGACAGACAAGATCTCAACACTCAGAGGAAAAGGTGGATATGCTCCCACCCCTGAACAATAACATATCACCAACTGACACCTGATTGCAAAGAAAAAATTAGTTTTCTCCAGTGGACTCTTACTAGGTATATTCACCACACTTCAGGGAGACCCGATGCCAAGCAGTAGATGACCAACACAAAATAAATTCAGTGGTGTTTTTCTATACTGTCATAAATCGCTTTAGTTGGCCAGATTTTTGTCTTAGTGGACTTTTGCTTGTGTATTTTGGTTTCTGTTTTTGTTGTGTGTGTGTGTGTGTGTGTGTGTGTGTGTGTGTGTGTTGGTTTGGTTGGTTGGTTGGTTGGTTGGTTGGTGGGCTGCTTGTTTTGTTTGCTTGTTTGTTTTTAACAAGAGAAAGGGTGAGCATGGAACTGGGTAGGTGGAGAGTTGGGGAGGACCTGAGAGGTGTTGGGGAAACAAGCAGGCAGGTAATGACTAGGGATGAGGGTAACATATATTATTTTATTTTCTCCTTTTTTTTATAGTATTTACTACATGGCAACTATTGTTCTGCTTGCTTTATGACCATTTACTCCAATCTTCTCAGCATTCTGTACCATATTTGTTGTGGAATAATCTTTTCGTGCACTGTGAAGATGTGTCCTTCTGACAGGTTTAATAAAAAGCTGAACAGGCAATAGCTCGTCAGGATTTGGGGGGGGCAGAGAGAACACTGAGAGGAAGAAGACAGAGTCACTGGCCAGACTCAGAGGAAGCAGGACATATGGGAGACCAGGCAGCAAGCCAGGAGCCACTTGGCAGGAGGTAAACTAATAAAAATGGGTAAGCGTAAGTTATAAGAGCCAGTTAGAAACAAGCCTAAGGTATCAGTGGAACTTTCATTACTAATAACAAGTCTCTGTGTCATTATTTGTGAGCTAGTGGCAGAAAGAAAAGTCCACCTACTCATATTTCTAAAATAATTCACCACCAGAATAAAAAAAAAAAAAAAGAAAATGAAAACGGCCAGGCCGTGGTGGCACACTCCTTTAATTCCAGCACTAGCGAGGCAGAGGCAGGTGGATCTCTGCCAGTTTGAGACCAGCCTGGTCTACAAGAGCTAGTTTCAGGACAGCCTCCAAAGCCACAGAGAAACCCTGTCTCGAAAAACAAAACAAAACAGAACAAACAAACAAACAAACAAACAAAAACATGTTAAAGTATTCAAGTAAAGGGGCTAAGCCCTTGGTTCAGTGGTTAAGTATGCAAGTACGCATCGGCCTCTTGCAGATGACCAGCGTTCAGTTCCCAGCACCACATCTGGAAGCTTATAATTGCCTGCACCTCCAGCTCCGGGGTATGCAGAAACCTATCTGCATCTCTGGGCACAAGCCCTTGTGTACATATACACATATGAATAAAAAGCAATGTCTTAATAAAATAAAACAAAATCCTCAATTAAAGATATTAAAGATCAGGAACTCAAAGTTTCCAAAAGTTTGAGCAAAATTGACATATCAATCAACACAACCTTTCCCCTCTGTAATAATTTGTTTTTCTACTTATAGATGCATGTTCTCTTTTGTTTCAATTACCTTTGAACTCTCATCCATATAGTAGGATTGAAGACAACGCTTTTCCATAAAAGAGTTGTTGAGCATAAAGATAACTTAAAAAGTGGAACCTCTAGCTTACTATTCGATAGCCTACGAGCCCTAAATGAAAAAGACGGATGGAATCTTAAATGTGCTTCTTCACTCAGAGGGTTTTCTTTTTGCTCTCAATGCATCGAGACTCCAACTGAAAGCTCAGGGCTCTTTCTAAGCGTATGCACTGCAATATAAATTATCAACAAATGTGGCTTTGAGTTTTTAGACTCATTTATTTTATTTCCAAAATGATTTTTAGATACAAATACCCCAGCGTAGCTGCTACCAACTCTTCCCACATTCGGCATAATTAGAATCCACAGAGGTTTCAGCTAAAGGTTCTAGAGAGATTGTCAATGGGTGATTAATGAATTATCGGGTGAATAGAAGCGGCCTCGGCTTGTTGCTGCGGTGCTTTGACGCCCCTTGGCAGCAATTTGAGAACTTAACAGGAAAGAAGACAAATGAGCTCTGTAGCAAACACTGCTCTGAACATTGTCCCCAGCCCCGTTCCACCGTGTCCACGGAGACGTGAGAGTGAATGCTTCCGAGCCACCTCTGCAAGGGGACGTGGTAAGTGCCAGACAGGTTCTTCCACGTTGATCAATGAACAGTGAAATCTGCCAGAAAGGCTAATCAGAAAATGTGGTTTTCTTCTGTGCTGTGCAGCCATCTCCATGCTGACATAATTACATTGTTTCAGGAAAAAGCAACCATCTCAGTAACTTTTGACTGTTCTTCCGAAATATTTAATACCTAAGTGGACTTCTTTGTGATATCCCTGCCATGGCTTCCATTAACCATTTAACAGGAAATGAGATCTACTGTAATGAATGGAAAAAATACATTAACTATTAGCATGAGCATTCATTATACATAACTGTGCGAAACTGCCAGTGTTTCCTTAAGCTGAACACACACACACACACACACACACAAATGCACATGCAAGCACACAAACGTATGCTTGCTCACCATGCACAGGTCTATTCTGGTTAACTGCACCAGAACAGGAAAATATGTCTGCTTCACTTATTTCTGAGCTTCAATACAGGATCCGGGACTTGAAAAGAACTAAAGGGTTATTTGTGGCAAGATTGAGCCATAAGATGGTGCTTGTGGCTTTATTCAGGAATGAGATGTGAGATTTTGTTTCCTTTCAGCCTCCACTTTTCAGTCTCTTAGTAATATTTAAAACAATCTGTAACTTTTCTATTTTTTCACTGCAGAAACAGTGTATTTTTAAGTCAGCAATAACAGGTTTCATTATGACAATTTCATAGGTATATGTATTGGTTATTTTTCTGTTGCTGTGATAAAACAACATGACCAAGGCAACTTACAGAAAACAAAATGAATTTGAACTTATGGTTCCAGAAGGCTAAGATTTCATCATGACTGTGCCTCAAGTCCTATTAGTAACATTAAATGACAGAGCAACTTGATTGACAAAGAACAGACTGTCATGTTGTGCCTGCTGTAAAATAAAAGTCCCCATCAACTCAGTGAACATAGGTCAAAATATTTTAAGTTAAATAAGATTTAAATGTTTGATGATTTGGAAGACAGTGGACTTTTTTGTTTTTTGTTTTTGTTTTTGTTTTTTGTTTTTGTTTTTTGAGACAGGGTTTCTCTGTGTAGCTTTGGAGCCTATCCTGGCACTCGCTCTGGAGACTAGGCTGGCCTCAAACTCACAGAGATCTGCCTGCCTCTGCCTCCTGAGTGCTGGGATTAAAGGCATGCACCAACAACGCTGGGATGACATTTTTAATTAGTGAACTGAAAGTGAGCATTGAATTTATTAACAGACCACTCTTGTGTTACTGCTACAATTATTCATGCTGGTGTTCTGGATACTTAAACCTAAGCTAGATATCATGGGTCCTACTGGAATTGTGATTAAGAAGCAAAGTGAAAATTTTCCCTTCAGAAAAGTTAATGAATCAGTAAGAAAACAAAGTTGATTTTTATGATTGGAAAAAAAAAAGGCCTGTTATAATAGGGAATCATGATAGCAGGTCGATGGCATGGTGGCAGGAATAGCTGAGAGCTCACAGTTTGAACAACAAGCAAGACATTGAGAACACTAGTAGGAAATGGCATGAGTCTTTTAACTCTCACAGTCCACTTCTACTGATACACTTCTTCTATCAAGGTCTCATCTCCTAAGCCCCTTGAACAGCGCCACCAACTGGAATCAATTATTCAAACACCTGAGCCTATGGGGGACTTTCTCATTCAAACCACCACAAAATAGGTCAATGTACTTGTTCTTATTCATTCCCATCCCTTGGTACATTCTTTCAGCCTCCTAACTAACCCCTATGGCTGGCCTCATTTCTCCCCCAAAGAGTACCCCTTGGGCTTTTATGTCACATGTATTTTCTATTTTTTCCTCTTCTCATCCCAGAATATTTATCAGTGTCATAGTTCTCTTTCTCCTTTCAACAAACACACATGTGAATATACACACAGATTTAAATCTAGAGATCATACATGAGTTAAATGTGTGGCTTTGGTTTTGCTGAGTTGCTTTATTTCACTTAAACATAATAATCTCCAATTGCATCTATTTCTTTGTAACAGCCATTATTTCATCTACCTTCTAAGTCTGAATAAAATTCCATTGTGTCCATGAACTATGTTTTCTTTCTTTATTTGTATGGACATATAGGTTGCTCAGTTTCCAGGCTACCATGAACCATGTAGTCATAAATGTGGATTTGCAATTATCTCTGAAGTATATTGACTTAGAATTCTTTGGATCTATACCTAGGAAAATTAAAGCTACTTCAGTTTTTAATTTTTGAAGAACATCCATACTGACTTCCATAGTAGTCACAATACATTCTCAACAATAGTGAAGGAAGGTGTCTTGTCCTTTATATCCTTACTGGCATTTGTGTCATTTTTTTCTTGACAATAGCCATTCTAACTAGAGTTGGGTGCAATCTCAAAGAAGATTTAATTATGTTTCCTTGATGGCTAATAATGTTAGACACCTTCTAAAATATACACTGGCCTCTGTTTCTTTGGGGGGAACTGTATGTTCAGGTCATTCACACACATTGAGTTTCATTAGAGTTGCTTCCAGAAGCATTGAAGGGTTCTTTACAGGACCATGAGCATCCTAACACTGGCTACATCACTGAGGAAAATACCCCTCCCTGCCCCTGAAAATACTAACTGCATGGGAATTCCAAGAAAAGGCAGAATCTTGTGAGCTTCTCCCTTCTCCATCACTGGATGTTAGTGGGTCCAATTCTGTTCACACCCAGATGCTGTGAGTCTGCAAGTAGAATGGTTATGTTATGCATAAAAGTTGGGATTTGCAATCTACCAGGAGATCCAGCAATTCCACTCCTAGGCATATACCCAAAAGAAGCACATTCATACAACAAGGACATCTGCTCAACAGTGTTCATAGCAGCATTATTTGTAATAGCCAGAAACTGGAAGCAACCTAGATGCCCCTCAACTGAGGAATAGATGGAGAAAATGTGGTACATTTACACAATGGAGTACTACTCAGTGGAAAGAAAACAATGGAATCTTAAAATTTGCAGGCAAATGGATGGAACTAGAAGAAACCATCCTGAGTGAGGTAACCCAGTCACAAAAAGACAAAAAAAATAGTATGTACTCACTCATATATGGATTATAGATCTAAAGCAAAGAAGTAGCAGCCTACAATCCACACCTCCAGAGAAGCTAGGAAAGAAGGAGGACCTAAGAGAGACACACACGGTCCCCCAGAGAAGGGGAAAGGGACAAGATCTCCTAAGCTAATGGGGACCATGGGGGGAGGAGTTAGAAGGAAGATAAGGGGAGAAGGGGAGGGAAGAGGAGGACAAAAGGGAGCAGGAAGATTGACTCAGCCCTCATCTCTAGGGTGGAGAACTCACCAAGAGACGCTTTGCTCAAATAAAGCTATTCATTTACTTTTTCAATTAGGCTTGATCTGACTTATTGCATCGGCAGAGAAACCTATTATCATGTTACAGAAAACATATTACCCAGGACTTGGGAGACAGAGACTTACATATTTGTGAGTTCAAGACCACAGTCTAAACAGGAAATTTCACACCAACCAGAGCAATATAGTTAAACCCTGTCTCAAAACAAAACAAAACAAAACAGAAATACAATAAAGGTTACATAAGGGTAAAGGGTGGAGCCTGATTCTGATGCATGGCTTTTTAGTGGAACCCATAGCCCAGCTTATATGACCCAAGGATCTAAGATACCAGATATGCAGGTTCATCAAAGATCAACCCGAGACAGTAGCTCCTGGTTCATAAGTTACATCAGTTAAACATGAAAGACTCAGAATTCCGTGGGAGTAATCACAGTAGAAGAAGGCTTCATTGCTGTCAAGTATTATTAAAGAACAGTGAAACCTGATAGAAAATGAAAAATTAAAGTGAGAGGGAATTGACTCCAAAGGGGAAAAAAGTCACTGAATTTCCTTTGTTTAGAAATTTTATAGGGCAATGGCAGAAACTAGACAAAGGTTGAGGTAATCTCTATTGACGTTGTCGGTTCATTCTCTGGGCAATCAAGGACTGAGTCAACGGAGGTCGTCCTTACTCTGCATTTCCCTGGTCCATCCAGGGATCTGTTCATGTGCTACCCACCCCATTAGGTGGTTGAGGCCTCTCTGTGTACATCCTTATTAGCAATTGCCTTCGACTGTCCGCTAGCTGTTAGTAGTCATATGACTGGCATTCCCTACCTTCTGACCTGGCAGGTGTCTCGAGAGCAATGAATTATACTAACCTCTAATTTATCTCACATTTACATGACAGCTTATAGCTTTACCAAGCAGAGGATTAACTCTACCACAGCCACCAGGATACAACCATAATGTTTCTTGGTTATTTTATATTTAGTTTTCTGTCCACATGGTAGTTTGGGGGTCTCTTTCTTGAAGCACGTGCATATAGCAGGCATTCTTTGGTAACTATCCAGCTCCCAAATCATGATACAGAGACTTAATAATAATTATGAATGATGGGCCTTATCTTATGCTTGCCCCACAGCTTTATAACTTAAATTAGCCTATTTCTCTTCATCTATGTTTTGCCTCAGGGCTTTTTACCTTCCTTTTATTGCAGCTGCATGGCTGGCTAGCCCCAAGCATCTCCCCCACTTTCTCCCTCATTCTCTCCTTCTCTCCTCTAGATTCTTCCTCATTCTTATTCTCTCTGCCCACAAGTCCTGCCTATTCCTCTATTGCCTAGCCATTGGTCATTCAGCCTTTTATTAGACCAATTAGGTGCTTTAGGCAGACAAAGCAACATTAAATAAATGCACTATAAACAAATGTAACACATCTTTGCCTAGTTAAAGTAACATTTCACAGAAGGTACAGGCTTGCTAGATGCTATTCTTACTTACAATTCAGTCTTATAAATAGCTGTATCAGAGTCAAGGATATATGAAAAGACAATTGAGCCTCAATGATTTGGGAGAGCCAGCTGGCCTGCCTTCAGCAGCCCAGAGTCTTGTACCTTCTCTTAGATTCCTAAATTGACTGTCTCACGCTCACCTGCATGTCTTTTTATTCATCTTTTCCCATGCTCTGGACTCTGTAGTTTAATCTTTAATCTTTCAACTCCAGTGTCTGACCTCACCAAAACAAATGTGAGCAACTTTCAGTTACTAACAGTGGGCCCTTTCCCCTTACTGCCTGCCTCATTTCTCCTGGAAGAGCGTCCTTATAAGAGAAAGAACCACGACTCACTCATCCTTACTGTCTCTCTGTTTCTGCCCCACCCCCAACCACCACATACATCAAAGGAAAGATTGTACTATGGGACAGAAAGTAAGGAAGAGTTTCCTTATCAGAAACCCTAAATCAATCTTTCAGGTACATGGACCTTGGACTACCAACCTCCAAGAGCTGTTAGAAAATAAATTTGTTTTGTACACAACCCAGACACCAGGTCTGCATATTTTATTGTGTCAGCTGGGAGGACTAAAATGCTATTTGTTAAGCACTCTGCTACATAATAAAGATACAGACTGAGTAAAACAGGCTTTTTCTCTATTGATTAATGGGAGTGAAGCAAAGAGAGGAAGGAAGGTATGATCAATGATACTAACAAAGCCGAGGAAAGTAGATACCATGGTAGCCTTGGGGAGGGGAGATTAACACAGGCTGAAAAGTTTGGAAATGTTTGACAACAGAGGCAATTTATAATGTTGAGTCTTTTAGGAAACAGTTTAGGAGAGAAAGAAAGAAATAGAGTAGATTTTAATTAAGATAGAAAAAATGTAAGTGAAGATGAGGATGCGGGTAATGGCATTTGTATTTAGAAAGTAAAAAAGCAGTCCATTCAAATTAGAACATGGGTGCTAATGAGAGCCACAGGAAGGTACTGAGGCAGAGAAAGGCTATGGAAATCAATCAGTCAGCCCCATCAGTTCCAAGTCTTGCAAGAAAGTCCCCAGAACTACATGACAAATGGCAAGGACATCCATAGACATTTTCCTAAATCAGTTGTTCAACATAAGGAGATAAAACCTTCAAAAGGGGGTGCATTGTGAATAGATTGGGATACAGGAAGATTTGAGTTGTTACAATAAAATATAAAGTTTAATATAGATTTAAATTTTTTCCAAGAACAAATGCATATTATACAAAAGTCCATCCCATTCATAAGCTGCTGAGTCACAGTTCATTCAATGAGAATATTTTGTAAGTAGAATCAATAGGCCTGTCTGAGAAAATAGAAGTTATAGCGTGAATAAAGTCAATGTCTTTTCATTAGCTTTTCCAGTGTTCTCTAGAGTGGTTTACTAACATTTGCTTACAGACATAGTTGCTCCATTGGAAAGATATTTAAGTATAAGATTCTATTTGAGGGATCCACTCTTAGCAAAAGAATAGATGGCTCATCAATAGTTAAATCAACACTATTTATTATCCCTCACTTAGATGCCTCACAGTGGTTTGTCTAGGATGGTTTCCATTAGAACAGTACCAGCAGAGAAGTGGGTAGAGGATACATTTCTATTAAGTTACAAACAAATGTAAAGTCTCAGAGAAATAATCTTATTTACAAAACCAGTCAGAGATGATTTGGTTTCTTTCTTTTCCATGATAAAATATGTGATAAAATACCATAACCAAGCTTACTTATAGAAGAAATTTTTATTTGGGTTTACAGTTCTAGAGGATACAGTCCCCCAGGAAAGTGGCAGGCTGGAGCAGAAACTGAGAGCTCACATCCTGAACCACAAGTATGAAACAGAGAAAAAACACATTGGAGATGGCATGAGTCTTTGAACATCTCAGTCACCTCCAGTGGTCTACTTCCCCCCAAAAGGCAACACCTCCTAAACCTTCCCAAACAGCACCACCAACTGTGACCAAATGTTCAAACACATGAGCCTATGGGGAGACAGTCTCATTCAAGGACCTATATATGGGGACAAATATTTAATGAACTAGAGGGATTCTTGGGTTTGATAAGCTTGCTGTAACACACAATAATGGTCTTCATTTGTTGTTCTGTTCATCATATCTTGCCACCAGCTTTCGCTTCTTTAGTAAGCCCAACTACCTTCTCAGATTCGATGTCACTGAATATTTAACTATGCAAAGATGTGTTGCATTTGTTTATGTTGCAGAATAGTTGTTTAACTATGTAAAGATGTGTTGCTGTTTTACCTTGCCTAAGGCACCTGACTGGTCTAATAAAAAGCTGAATGACCAATAGTAAGGGAGGAAGTATAGCCATGACTTCTGCACAGGGAGAGTAAGTAAGATGAGGAATTTAGGTTTGGGGGAAGAAAGAAAAAATGATGCCAGGGAGACACCAGAGGCCAGCCAACAAGACACTGAGGAATCAGGAGTAGGACATACAGAATGAAAGAAAGGTAAAAAGGACCAGAGACCAAATGTAAATGAATAGAAACAGTAAATTAAGTTAAAAGAGCTAGTGGGACAAGCCTAAGCTAAGGCTGAGCATTCATAATTAAAAAGTCTCCGTGTCTTTATTTGGGAGCTGGTTTGCAGCCCAAAGAAAATGCCAATCACAACTGGATGTTCAGACTCTGTGTACTTGTCTTCTACATACAGAGTGGCAACGAATCTACTTCCAAAATATACCAGGAACTAGTTACCACCACCTCAGCCCAGAGACAGCCTCCTCTTAGCTATAGTGTTTTAATTTTCCCAGTGTCTCTGTACCCTCACCATAAATCAATCTCCAAAGAAACCACCCACTCATCTTTAACAGCTAGACTTCTATATCCACACTAAAGTGAGTATGAGATTATATTTATGGTTTGCAGGTTTGGCTTCATCGTCCGTTTTACATAATGATGCTCTTTGAACTTTAAGTATATCTTTTAGTATGTATTTTTGAGAGCTTACTTTTAAGTATAACTCTAGAATCAAATTACCAAGTATTAAAGAATTATACCTTCAACTTGGCATTGGAAACTGAGCCATGCAGTGACTCACAGTGATTCAGTTCTCTGAGAACATGGTCATTGCCTTTTCCATCATAACTTTACCAGATGGAATTAGCAATTCTCACTATTAGCAAGCCTCAGATTTTACTCAGAAAGGAGGTCCAGAGTCATCTGTACTCTCTACACTGGAGCCCACTGAAGTTAGACCTTTATGCTTTTGGCAAAACCCACATTACTAAAATGAGTCATCTAAAGAATACCTGACAGTTTTCAACTGCCAGTGGTTTATCTTGGATGTAATATACCATCATGGAGGACCAACTGTAATGAATTTGCAGTAAGTACCCCATATGTGATTCTCATTCCTACAGATCAGTAGTACGAGAATCCAGAAGGAAGAAAGCTGGTTAGAACATGCCCATGATGGTCTAAAGACTCAGAGATTGCCCTAAGGAGAACTTGGTGCTTTCCCCAGAGTAGACAGAACATACCAAAAATGCTAGTCTCCATTTAAACATGTGGTAAAACCATCTGAAGTAGGGTTTACACATGAGGCTCTAGCAAGAGGGAATTAGAAGACTGAAAATTATCACACTAAAAGTACAGGAGGCATTAAAAGTACCAGCAGGCTTGGTAGCTTATGACTATAATCCCAGTCCTTGAAAGACTGAGGCAAGTGGATCACTGTTGAATTCCAGGCCAAACTACCCAGTGAGTTCCCATGCAGACTGAGCTACAGCATGAGAGTGTGTCTCAAATACCAAAAAATAAAATAAAAATAAAAATAAAGCAAACACAACTCCATAACGTCTATAGAGAATTTACCTGCTTTATTGCACAATGACAATTTTTACAAGGGTATAAGTTAGGTATCATTGTATAGAATTGGAAGATGTGGTATTTATGTCCACATGTCCCTTACTAATGAACAATGTTCATGTATTCAACATGTAAAAGTCTCTAATATTACTGATGTCAGTAACTGAGATTCACAAATAAGAAAGTGCAGAGTTACTCTTCTGACCCACTTAGTACTTCACAAACTCATTGCCCAAACACGGTGATGTGATTTTTTTTTTCTATGTATAGGACTGGAATACTTACTCGTGGCTGTGCTTCATAAAATGCTGTTTCAGGCAATCATCATAGGAAATGCTATCAAGATTCATAATTGCACAAATCTGTAAGGTTTTGCACTTCTGATCACAAGTTACACTGCTGTCATAACTCACAAAAAAATAATGGTAGTATTTCAAGAACTGTTTGCTGTCTATGGTAGCAAATTGTTTAGCCAATCCATGTAAGCTCCTTGGCTGTAGATCTGCAATGCCATAGGTCTGAGTCAGTATGTACTCCAGTGTCCAGTTGGATTCTCCTTTTAAATTTGCTTCTGTTAAGTTCAAATAATACTGCAACATGTCCTATATTAAAGACAGTAACAAACCCAGTTCAGAGTGGTTTAAAAATATAGCCCAAATACATTTCTGTAAGAACTTCACTTCATCTGGGCAATGATGGCACATGTCTGTAATGCCAACATTTGGGAGGCAGAAGCAGGTGGAGCTCTATAAGTTCCAGGCCAGCCTGGTCTACTGGACAGCCAGGGCTACACAAAGAGAAACCCTGAGAAACCCTGTCTCAAAAAACAAACAAACAAAAACAAAACACAACACCCCCCAAAAACATATACATACAAAATGATCTCAATACCAAAAACCTGTATCACTTTAAATTTTTTTAAAAATAATGAAAAGAATATAATAGTGTATCATCCAGATATAAAGTGAGATGCAAAAGATAAAGCATCTTAAATTCTTACAGCTTAGAGATGAACACTAGCAGCTGACAGAAATCAGCTGGGTGTTGGAAGCAGCTGAGCCAGCCCATGAACTCTGCCTGAGCTTCCCACACAGACTGAGATGTCAGTTTGGTAGTTTGAAACTATGATGTGTGCATTTTTCTGGGATTAATGGCGTGCATCATCACTAGAAAGAGAGATGGTCAGCACTTTCATATCAAATTGTGCTGAAGAGCCACAAATGTGCACCAGAGAATTACTGAGACAAAAAATAAATATTCAACTGGAGTTTCTCCTTGAAAAATTAAGCTTTCACAAACCTTTTACTGAGCACTCAGTGTGAGTGTTTATTATTCTAAATGCTTCATATATATTTCTTTTCATGGAAGCATCTTAGGAACTCATGATCTAGTCATGTTTGTGTCTGTAGGGCACACTTAGGTATGTACAGTATATGTTTATGCATTTTCTGTTTGTGAATGTGTGTGCATACATTCAAGTACTGTGGAGGCCAGAGGTCAACATGAGTGGCTTTCTCAATTGCTCTCCATCTTATTTCTTCTGAGACAGGGGCTCTTCATTGAACCTGGAGATCTGTCAGCTAGAATGGATGGTACCAAGCTCCAGGGATCCTCTACTCTCCACACCACTGCACAGGGGATACATATGTGCAGAGCCATGCCTGGCATTCTGTGACTACTGGGTTCCTGAACTTAGGGCCTTATGGCTACACAGCAAGCCCTTTACCAATAGAGCGATCTCCTGAGACCCCACAGTCATATCTTTTTGTTTGTTTTTTGTTTGTTTGTTTGTTTTTCGAGACAGGGTTTCTCTGTGTAGCTTTGGGGCCTGTCCTGCCACTCACTCTGTAGACCAGGCTGGCCTTGAACTCACAGAGATCTGCCTGCCTCTGCCTCCCAAGTGCTGGGATTAAAGGTGTGCACCACCAACGCCCAGCTCCCCACAGTCATATCTTAATTCCCATTTTAAAGAACAAATTAGAACACAGGAGAGCTTGGAAAACAGCTGAAGACAGAGCATAGTTAGGGAGCCTAAATTTTTCCAAATAATTGTGTCTGGAAGAAGAGTAATTAATATTTTTTTCTTAGGGAGGACAATAGTATATATCAAAGTACACAAATAAGGCTACATCCTGAAAAACGTGACAAGATCAGGGCTTGGGATGTAGCTCAATTGTTAAAGTACCTGCCTGCCTGCCTCACACACAAGTTCCCAGCACCCTAAACTCAGTCCCCAGAACCCCATAAACCTGGGTATGGAGGCAAACACTTGGAATCCCAGCTCTTGGCAGATTGAGGCAATAGGACCAGAAGTCTCTAGAATACAGCACATTTAGGCCAGCTTGCGCTACATGAGAACTAGTCTTAAAACAAACATATAAAAAAGGAAGCCCGTAGAAAGATGGTAACCACAAGCAAACCTCACCTACCCACCCACAGGGATGACAGCAGACATACATCTTTAAATAAGGACACCATGAGATACCAACATCAAGTGCATCTCTCCTGGCTTTCTGAGAAACACTCTTACTAAATGAATAAAAACTTCAAAGACATATATAAATGTTTACATGTGGGGTCAACCAAACTACTCCAACTTACCAGCAATGCATAATCATCAGGTTTGTACTGAAATAGTCGGACACCAGGATTGTTTGTCTCTTTTTGTAAAACTCCTTTCACTGGTGTAACAGCAGGTGCCACAAATGCAGAATTTATTGGACTTCCTGGACCAAAAAAAAAAAAAAGTCAGGTATATATTATAACACTTTAATTTAACCTTAAAAATATGAATAGAGGCTGGGCATTGGTGGCGCACACCTTTAATCCCAGCACTTAGGATATATATATATATATATATATATATATATATATATATATATATGAATAGATTAAGTTAAGAGATTAATAGACAAATATTATACAGTCATTGATTAATTCTCCAATTGTAATTACCTCAAAGCAATTAGTGTTGCTTTTGAGAAAATAAGGGTGTTTAATACAAAAACCAAAGGGCTATTACTGATTTTGCTAAACAGATTAATGTCATTATGGTTTTATAAATTACCTATATTTTCTAACAATGAATATAGAACTACATGGAACTATAACTGACTTTATGTTTCAAAGTCACTTTTAAACACTTCAGATAAGTACATCGCAGATAGATGACAAATAGATGAAAAGTAGGTTATAGATTAGATAGATGATAGATAGAAGATAAATGACATAAGATGATTGATATAGACATAAATGATAGAAGACAGATAAATGATAGATTTTAGATAAATGATTGATAGCTAAATAGATGATAGTGATGACAAAGAAATAATAGAGAATGGATAGATGATAAATAAATACAACAAGATCTTGATCCATATTCAATATAATAAATGATGAGTAAACATGGATTTGTTAATCATATTCTCAACCTTTATATATATTTGAAAAATTTTCACAAAAAACAAGTTTACCATAACTTACACACACACACACACACACACACACACACACACACACACACACACACGTACGTGTGTTCACACAAAATAAGACAACAAAACTGCCCCCCCCTTTTTTTACTGTGCCTAATGTAAAGTTTCAAAAATTATACAATAATTTGATTGGCACAGACCTTTAATAATTCCAGTATTCGGGAGACAGAGGCAGGAAGACACAAGTTTGAGGCCAGCCTGGTTTATATAGTGAGTTCCAGGCCAGTCAGAGCAAACAGTGACATTCTGTTTCAAAAAAAAAAAAAAGGAAAAAATCAAAATATTAACATATTTTATACATGTCTATTATAAGATCCAGCACTGGGGTAAACAGAAGCAGGCAGATCTTTATTGGTTTGAGGACAGCCTGGTCTACATAGTGAGTTCCAGGACAGCCAGAACTCCATAATTAATCAATCAATCACCTATCTCTCTCTCTCTCTCTCTCTCTCTCTCTCTCTCTCTCTCTCTCTCTCTCCCTATTTGTCTCTCTGTCTCTCTGAAAGAAATGGCATATTATGATCTAAAAGAATCAAACTTTAAAGTAGTCATTGTTATAATTTGTTCTAGATGAGCAACAAACATTTCAAAAATATTGTCAAAATATTGAAAAAACACAATTTGTTTTCCTTTTGTCTATATAAAACCAAATTCTTACTGTTTCTTGCTATAACTTCTCCTACTTTTCATTTCCTTTATTGTGACAAGAACAATTAAGAATGTGCTGAATATTTTAAGGCATTCTGTGAGTTGTGATCTGTACTTTAAAATTCTGAGAGAAAATAAAAGTCTTAGAAAGAGAAATTTGAGTCTAGCATATAAACAACAAACAGTATTATTACTTCTCCAAACTGAGTGTCTAACAGAAACTTGGAGTGAGCTAAGAGTTTCGGAGGCCTCTGTGTGGTTGCCAGACAAGCAATATTGGCCCTGCACAGCTGACCAGAGCTTATGGTGAAGAAATCTAGTCATATGTCTAATCCTATGATTTGTGCACTCAGCATATAACCATTCAAGATAAACAAGAAAAGGCCAAGAACTTCTCTTTTCAACGACGCTTTAAGTGCCCTAAACAGTAAATACAATGGTCAGTCACAGCTGTGCTCCAGCAAGGTAGACTGGGACAGGCATACAGGTCCCATTCATTACCTTGTCTATCAGAAAGAACCATAAGGCTGTCTCTGTGGGTGTGGCCGTAGAACTGTCCTGCAATGACAGAGCTGTATTTTCTGAAAATATCAACCAGTTTCTCATTATAATACTGCCTCACTGCTGGGGTATCAGTTGCATAAGGAAGATAGCCCACTGGAACATGTGCTATGATGTACACCTGAAAGGAGAAATACGCACATGGCAGCTTGTTTGCACATTTATCACTACTAAATGACAGCTAGATCCCCATGACTGAACATATATTAACTAAAATTTAGAAAGCAAATATGCTTTCTCTCCTGTTTCTGAGAAGGGAACAAGCTGCAATTATGCAATAATGCATTATGACACATGTCTCATTTATACGGTACTGTTGGATGGTACAAGAATATTGACCTGAGTCAACTTTCTTTTTAAATCTTGAATTTTTAAGACTTTTATTAATTCCTGATTATTCCCCAAGATCAATAAACAAATTAATCCCTCTGTTAGTCCACTGCTAATTCTAGTCTATAGGATCTACCTTCTCCTTATTTTGTAGAGAGCTGTTTAGTGTATTTTCCAGCCATTCGAATTGATTTGCTGGGTCTGTCTTGTTCAGGGTCATGACGTTTGGACCATAGTACAGGTTCGTGTTTAGGCTAATGATCCTCAAGTCTGGATTATTTGCAACTTTCTGGGAATAGAAGCCACCTGTAAACACAAATGCAAAATGAACTTTAGGACCACGAACACACAAACATGCAGATACTGGGCAAGTGAACTCTTAAAGTTAACAATGCCAACTGGCATCCTCACTGGGTAAGAATCTAAGTTAACATTAATGGGTAAAGGTACCATGTGTTAAATCCAATGTGTAAGATTATGAGGGAAGAGCAGTTACAGCCAATACACATGTTTGGGCAGTAGGAAATAAAATTTAATTTTTAAAATATACTAATTTATATTAGAGTAAACCACAACTCATCAATATGCATAGTTGTGGAATTACATGCCAGCTGCCAAGTCTACAACACAGCTCCTGCACCTACATTTCAGGGATCACTTGGAAGACAGGGAAGAAAGGTTGTAAGAGCCAGAGGGTTGGGGAGTTTGCTGTGAGACTGTGTGTCCTAGAAATGTCAGAGAAGCTACACACATGAAGTCTCACCAATATGGCTGCCTGAATATGATCTGAACAAGGACAACACCAGTAGACATGCTAACATGGAAGGGGGAGAAAGCTCACAAGGCATCAACCTCAGACAAAGAAGTACAGGAAACTAAGGAATAAAGAAAATGGGAGAAACAGTCTTCCAAGCAAGAGACACCAACTGGTTATCCAATACCAAATGGTCAGCCCTGGAAGCATCCACACACAAGTAACAGACTGAGAAGGTTGTATTTATGTATTTAGAAAGCTATATCTCAACCTGTCCATCCATCTATTATCTATCTATCCACAAAGAAAAATCATACATGCATTGAAAGAGCAAGAGTAGAGAGATACATGAGAAAACTGGAGGGAGGAAAGGAAAAGGAGAAATTATGCAATCATATTTTAATCTCAAAAAAATAAAAAATAACAATCTATGCACGAGCTCCTAGTTTTAAATAATCATAAGTCCCAGGACTTGAGAGATGCTATAAAATATAAAATCTAAAGAATGGAAAGGCACAGGCCCCTGCTAAATATACCCAGAAAATGAACACATTAGACCCCACATGCTCCAACCCTGAACCATTAGAAACAGACACCATAGGATCTGTCATAATGGAACATTCAGAGTGAGCCCCTCTATTCCTGTGCCTGATTTTTTTTTTGTATTGTGCCCATTCACCAAGCATCTATTTCCTTAGCTTTCAATCATGACTGATCACACACAGCCTGTTTAACTTGCATTTTCACCCCTATAGTCACAACATGTTATGATTTTCCACACAATAATAGTTGTGTGTGTGTGTGTGTGTGTGTGTGTGTGTGTGTGTGTGCTCGAGTGCGTGAGTATGCTGGGCGTGGGGGGTTGCATGTAGAGGCTAGAGTCCAACTTCTCTAGTATCATTCCTCAGATGCTATATACCTTGATTATTAGGACAGGGACCCTCATTGGCCTGGACTTCACCAGGCTAATAAAGAAACACAAAGTCCCAAAGATCTACCTATGTCCACCACCCAGGACATGAAAAAAAATTGACACTTTTCCATATTTACATATTTACAATATACAATAGCAAGGTGTAGACATTCTGCTATAGTTTAGATTTGAAATGTTCCCGAAGACCCTTATGTGTTGAAGGGTTAATTCCAGATAATGGCCTTATTTAGAGGTTATTAAATCACCAGGGGGAATGAGAATCATCTCATTGATGAGCTAAATAGGCTACTGGAGGGAGGGCCTAGTCAACTACAGGCAGTAGAACACAGGGTGAATGTCTTCAAATGTAATAATGTCTTTCATCTGTTCACATGGACTCCTGTTGTGCTCTCTCTCTCTCTCTCTCTCTCTCCTTCCCTCCTTTCTTTCTCCCCTCCCTATCTCTTTTCTCCATCCCTCCCTTTCCCCTTCCTTCCCTCTCTAGCTCTCTCTTACCTCCCTACCTCCTTTGCTGGCTGCCATGAAGTAAGGACCATTCCCATTCCACCATTCCCATCTGCCATGATGTCTTGGGCTCATCAGGGGCCCAAAGCATTGGGGCTAAAAGACCAATGGACCTTTGGAAGCAGAAACTCCAATGAATCTTCATCCCTTCAGCTGTTTATCTCAGGCATTTTATCACAGTGCTGAACACACAGTACTACTCCAAAAGTGAGGAATGGTAAATTAATAAGGAAGGCTCAGACAAAAGATGACATCCAACAGGATAAACATTAAATCTTAACTCTATGGCTGACATCTACTGTACATGGCACTGGGATATCAGCTTCCATTGGGCAGCCCCATGGCCTTCCTGACTGAATGTCACATGCCCTTTCCTGGGATGGCTCTGATTGCATTTACATCTCCCTTAGATGATGTTCCATATTCCTGGCATCTTTAATTTCTGTGGTCCCCACACAGCTTCACTCTGCAGCTTCACATATCATCTTCTCATAGGCTGCCCAAGGAAGGGGAAGAGAGACTACACCCAGGGAAGGGCTTACCATGTACTCTTTATGTTACTTTTCTATACACCTCAAGGCCTGTCTGAAAACCTCAGTTATTCTCACTTTATCAGCTGTTCCCTCATAACATTGTGCTTTTGAGGTAAAATTATCTACTCTTTCTTCTCAATCCATTTTCCAATTAAAAACATACACTTGTATTTATATTCACATTCAAAATTCCGCTTTTTCTTCAAGTGGAACATCTTGATTAAGGATGGGACAGGGAAGCAAAGAGCTCCCTCACAAGGTAAACAGGTTCGAATGTGTCCTAGGGCCACACTGCTGTTTACTGTCTTTCAACAAACTGGGCACAAAGACTATCTAGAATTGGAAGACCCAAACAAATGTTAAAGATGTAAGTCTAAACAAGGAATTAAAAAGGGAAGCAAAACAGTGTTTCACTAACCTTTCCTTAAAGTGCTAATGGCTTCTTCATCCAGCCACGGTTTCCAGAGGTCAGCTACAGCACTGTAGACCTTGCTGGTGGCTATCGGCAGCTGGTCCTGGCCACAAGAAGACAATGGACTTTGAAACTTTAAAGATATTTGGATGAAATAATGGAAATATTGCTTGAGTGCTGACTATGTTCGCCATCTGTAGGCACTACATTTTTAGTCTTTAAGGAACTCATATAGCTGAGCAAAGGTAGGCAAAAGGTGATACACTAACTGTAGGGCATGTTGCCAAGTGCTACCATAGAGGTCGTAGGAGAACAAAACAAGAACATCACGTCAGGCAAGGAGTGAAGGCAGCATTTAAAGTAGGAACTGTGCAACAAATTCAAGTTGGCATTAGATCAAAATAAATGGCCCAGACATAAACACAGCAGTAAAAAAGTGTGTGTTATGTGCAGAGGGAAGCTTGTGCTTAGGGCCAGGGCAGGGCTTAGATGGATGGTGAGATAAAGAAGTGTGTTCCTGAGACAGTGAATGCAGGTTTGAACCTGAACATGCAGGACTGGTGTAGCATGCTGTATGATTAGAGAAAACTTAATGACGTAAAATTTTAATGAAGTCATTTAGAATGTTATTACAAAGCTGCTTAATTCCTTCAAGTGCTTGTGATTTGCACTGACCTTTTTGCGGCAAACTAAGTTGCAACAACATATTGAAAAGAACATGCATTGCAGAGGACTGAGTTTGAGTTTGGTTCCCAGCAGCCATGGTGGTTGGCTTAGACTGCCTCTAACTCCAACCCCAAAGGATATGATGTCTCTGGCCTCTTTGGATATCACATTCATGTGCACATACAAACACACACGCGGGGGGTGGGGGGGGACAGAGAGAGAGAGAGAGAGAGAGAGAGAGAGAGAGAGAGAGTTAAAAATAAAATCTTTTCCTTTTGGGCTGAGACCTGACTGCCACAGAGAAATGAGCTATAATAGGAAGGGATCTTACCCATGAGGTTGGCAGCACCAGTCTTACCAGTATAGAAGTAAATAGAAACCCTGGTCCACACTGATTACTTGAGCAGTAATGAGAAAGAATTCCTGGGCAAGTAATCTGCTTTTGAAGAGCAGGTGAGGTAGTTGCACATCTATGTGTATGTTTAGAGTTACCCTGTAGGTTTAAAGGCTTTCACTGGAGAAATTCTATTCAAATTTTAGACTAGCACTCTCGCTGCTCTATCGCAGATAGCAGTTTTTAGGGGAACTCGTTCTGAAATCTTCATGTAATACCTGATATCTCTAAAGCTATGAGGTAAGAGTGTGAGGGAGCACAAGGAGTTGGAGGGGGAAGAAGGGAGGATGAAAATGATATAAATACAATACTCATGTAAGAAACAGTCAAAAACATGATTCTACATTAAGAAAAGATTATGTGGGCATGGTGGTGCAAGCCTTTAATCCCAGCATTAGGGAAGTTGAGGCAGAAAGAAAAGAAGTAATCAGAAATACAAAACTAAACAAAAAACAAACAAGCAAACAAACAAAAAAAACACAAGGTAGGAACTGGAAATCAAGTTCAACAGGAGAGTGCATGCTTAGGCTGTGGGAGGAAAGACATGTGAATTACCCAAGACTAAGCAAGGTCTCCGAACAGGGAAAGATAGAACTATAAGTTCTTATAAACAAATCTCTGTACAAATTGGTCTTTTTGTTTTGTTTTGTTTTGTTTTGTTTTCAGACAGTTTCTCTGTATATCCCTGGCTATCCCGGAACTCGCTCTGTAGACCAGGTTGGCCTCAAACTCCACCTGTCTCTGCCTCCAAGTGCTGGGATTAAAGGTGTGCACCACTACTGCCTAGCTTGATTTTTACCTAGCTGTGTGTACCATGTCTGAGATGCACAGGTATCTTAACAAATGACTTCTGTGAGTGACTGGAGTCAGGTCACATCAATCAGTAAATGAATATCCTGAAAAATAATTTTTGTTTTAATCATATCTAAATCAGATAAACTAGATTGGAACATTGACCTTTGGTTATTTTAACAGTCTTTCTACTTATGGCCTCAATAGCAATCTACCTTAAATCAGAATGTGCTGCTCTTCATATGTCTACAGGTTCGGGAAACTGCAAATGCTTGTCGATATTAACCTTGCTTGCTAAGCCTATCATGGAACTGGTAAATAAGTAAGAAAATGTATTGAAAGGACTAGGGAAACTGGAGAAGTTTATAACAACAACAACAAAAATTAAAAATCCACATTCTGTGAAATTTACTTCTAAAATATATTCTTGGCATAATTTTCATGAATTATTTTTTATTCTTTTGAAAACACCTAAAACTTTGATGGTTATCACATGAGTACTTCCTTGACAGCCATTCTTATCCCCTACCCTTGTCATAATTTTTGCACTATTAAAAGGGAAAGAAGTTCTGGAAGTTGAGGTCAGTTTTACCTGTGGCCAATAATCATGATTGCCCAGTGCAGGAAAAACTTGGAGGCTTGGAAAGAGGTTCTGGATGGTCATTGTCATGTTAGTGATCACCTTTATTACAGTGCCTGTTGAGAGTTCAGGTACTGGGACATGAGGTGGGCTATCCCTGAAAAGAAGATAGAAATGTAAAGAATAAATCACTATATTTATGCATTATTGTAGCTATCATTATAGATGTCTACTTTAGAATAACAAGTTAAAATTAAAGAGTCAAAGAGTAGCCAATGGTGATGGCATACCCATAGTCCCAATTAGTCAATAGACTGAAGAAAGGGATGATTGAGCCCAGTAATTTAAAATCAGCTCAAACTACATAACTGAACACAACCACAAAAGGGGTAGGGGAGTGGGGTGAGATAAACACTCTTCATCTACAAACAATCCTACAAAAGGGGAGGAGGTAATACAGAAAATTGTAGCCTATTTTATTGTCTTGCTGAGGATTTATAACACCACAGGATTAGGAAATTGTAGACTGCAGGACCAAAAGCGTAGATCAAATATCTATTTTACCAACAGGTAATTATATAAACATGGGCAAGTTATTTAGAATATCAGTTCTTCATTTCCTTACCTCTCATATGGAAATAATATGATCTAAGGACATACAGATTACTAAGTTGTAGAATAGAAATTAATTAAAATAGAACTCCATACAAAGTTAACACCTTATAAGAATAGCAATATTCCATATTTCAGGAACTAGAAATACAGTCCTCACCACAGTATTTCGACGGATGGACCTAGTTAATTATCCCACCATAATTTTGTGATGCTTCACAAAATCATTACCACAAGTTAACATCCGTTATTATCTTTTGTTATTAATTATTTAACCAAAATTTATTGTCATATTAATCAATAGTACAAGATACTGATGCAAGTGTGTTATTTATGGAATCATCTCTTAATTAACACAAACATATTTATAAAGTATGCCACAGGGAAAAAGACCCACAGTCTAAGATTGTTTTTATCACTAATAATATTGACTAATGTGTCAAGTTTTTTTATGTAACACATTTTACTGAGTTTCAAATATGTATACAGTTTACTTTGGTCCTAGTCACTTCTCATTCCCACTAACTCCTCTTAGATAAACACCCACCTTCCACTCTCTACCAATTTCATGTCCTTCTTTTTCCTTTTTAACTCACTGAGTCCAGTTTGCACTCCCTATATACTCATAAGTGTGGGAGCCAGTCCCACAAACAAACAAACAACTCTTTATGGATTTTATGAAAATAGCACAGTAATGAAGATTAGCACACTGTAGGAAAATACTACATAATTAATATGTACTTACCCTGTCCATATCATGAAAGATGCTTCTTGTCCTGAATTCTTAATAAAATCAAATGCTGACAAAATAAGTTGATATGGAGAGTCACACATAACATCTCCAAAAGGGCCAGGATTGGAGGCATTTGCACCTTTAGATGAAGCACACACCTTGGTGTGATCATCTGTAATGTGGTAAGTAGGGTCCAAATGCAAGTCAGTCACATGCCAAAACTGTCCTGTTGGTTAGAAAAGAAATACTGATAAATTTGTGGTTAGAGTAAGATTGAGACATCTGCTCCCCTTGCCAAAGAAGGAAGCCGTCATAATTTCAGTGTTCTGGAAACTCTCTCCTGTTAGATGAAGAAGCTTCAAATAACAGAAGAACATACAACTTACACATGTGAAACCAATGAGTTCTGAGTTAGCATGACTACTCAACAAAGACTCAAGTAAAGATGACATTACACAAAAAAAATGTTTGGAGCCATCTTTCTGAGAGGCCAATGAGATTATATCATATTGTAACAACATAGCATATCTTCTTGCAGAATTTGAGGTTTGAGAAAAACAGATCAGTTAGAAATATTATCTACAGTACCAAGATTGCACAAGTAGATGGAATACAGAATCTGTAAATGTTTATCTCAGTTTATTTGTATATAATTTCTCTTAGCCTTGTAGAAAAAAACCATAAATCTTTAACAGAAGCCATGTGACAAACATATGACTGCTTAGATACACTTTAAAGCTAACAAATTAGAGATACAACCCTCATACATTTGTACTCAATTTTAACATTGTAGGAAGCAGTTCTTAAAAAACAATTTTCCTAAACAGATTGGGAAAAGCCCAATCTATTTGACAGCAATCCTACTTGGAAATCATATTGAGAAATATTACTTCATTGAAAAATTATTAGAACAAGTCATAGCATCTTTCACTATGAATCTGTGGTATATTCCAGGTGTGGTTTATATGACAGGTATGGTATTAAGAAATTTGTATGTGTTGTATAACTTCATTCTCAAAGGGACTTAGCATTTTGAGTTTATAGTAGAGAAACTAATGCTGGGTATGGCTTGAATGACAAATATCCCCATAGCTCAGGTATGTGAATATTTAGTCCCCAGTTGGTGAAGTTAAGGAACCTTTAAGATGTTAGGCGTGGTAGAGGAAGTGTGTCACATGGGATAGGCTTTGAGAGTTCAGAGCCTCACAAATGCTTCCCATTTGTGGTAAAAATATGATCATTGAGCTTCCTAATCCAGTCCGTGTCATGCCTTCCTATCCTGGAACTATAAACCCAAATAAACACTTCAGGCTAGAAATGGACTTGATAGTGGCATTTTGTCACAGCAACAAAAGTTAACTACACTGACTCAAGTGGGAAATTTGATAAGCATACACAATTTATATGATCCCTCATAAAAGGGACCATATGTTGAAGAGCCCTCAAGTTTCCTTACATATAATTTACATATAAATTCAACAAGTGTGCTGTTTTCTCATATATAATTAGCGTCTTTAACACTTGATATTTGTTCAGCTTTACTAGAAACCTTTAGGACAGAAAAAATAAATTTTGGAATCACAGAAGAGAAAATATTTTCCTTATTTTGTTTTAATTACCATACTTACTTACTGAGTATATTCTCTGCATTCTGTTCAGATGGATTTCCTTAATTGCCCTTCAAAATAGCCTCCCAAATATGCTATAATAACATATTAAGAGTTTTGAAAGCACTCTGATTTCAATTTACATCTGAATATATCAGAAGAAACATAGTAAAACAATACAAGCTTTTTAATCTATACAAAAGTGACAAAACTTAATAAAATCCAATGAGGATAACACAATGAAAACAGTTATGATGATGTTTTGACTGTTTATTTGACAAAATCTAGAATGGCCTGGGAATCTCGATAAAGGATTCTCTACATCAGGTTGAATTGGGTGGGGGAGGGCATGCCTATGAGGAACTCTTGAGTCTTGATGTAGAAAGGCCCAGCCCACAGTGAAGGGGGCTTGTCTCCGGGCATGTGATCCTGGATTGTGTAAGTGTAGTGTGAACTGGGCACAGATAAGCATGCATCATTTATTCTCTGTCTGCTCTTGACTGTAGGTGTGAGCAGCTGCCATGTGTTCCTGCTTTGACTGCCCAGCAACAACGGAGCAATCAGTTGATTATAGTCACAGAAATGAAATTAAAACAACAGTGGGCTTGCTAAGTAGCAAGGAGAAATTATTGGTGGTCAGTTTTTTCCACTGTCATCATAATTTTATAACAAATGTTCACATGTAAGAAATAGAAGACATAAAATCCAGATGGCAGTTGACATAAAATAGTATCCAGGGTCAATTAATCAGTATTTGAAAAGTCAGCCAAGAGTAATTTCTTCCTTTCCACCAAGCAGAAAATGCCCTAAACTTTTTCTTGAGTTCAGATATACTCTACCCCTGCACACAAAGAAAAGTGGCAAATAAATTGTAATTATCATGCAGGTTGTACCTCCATCTCATTTTTGTGTAAACCTGTGTTTATATTATTTGTAGCATGTAAATGTGCAGTAACTACATATAAAACAGAATCGTGTTTGACACCCGAGTCAGACAGCCTGCCTTCTCATGTAAATTCTACACCCAGTAATTCAGTCTGGATGCGTGACCTTGGCCTGCTTCATCTGTCAGATGGGAATGTAATGGTGTGTCCTTTTAAGATAGCAGTAGCAGAAAGCAAATCCTTACAATGCACATGACACTGAGCAAACTACATTTTAGTTTTGCTATCATTATTTTATCAAACCTGCCATCTGAAATTGAATTTCCCCATTTGCACATAACTGTTCAATTTCATCATATTTACGAGCCGGGCGTTGGTGGTGCACGCCTTTAATCCCAGCACTCGAGAGGCAGAGGCAGGAGGATCTCTGGGTTCGAGGCTAGACTGGTCTACAGAGCAAGTTCCAGGACAGGCCCCAAAGCAATACAGAGAAACCCTGCCTTAAGAAACAACAACAACAACAAAAAAGTACTTATGACAAGTTTAGGGCTGTCTCTAGGCTTATATCACTATTGTTCTTTGTAGCAGACAGGGAACTGAAGTGCACAGAGAGTAAACCAAAGTCACATGTCATCAACAAGAGGGCTGAGGCGCTGACTCGGGAATCTCTCCTCAGAAACCACTTGGCTTTTAACCTCTGTATACTGCCTCCCACATACTTAGCCAAATGGGCTGCCTTACACGAAAGTAGATAATGGTAATCTACATAGAAGGTGCAGTGAAGATTAAGGTCAATGAGAACATGAATGGATTAAATTTACACAATCCAAAACTTGAAAGGGATTAGAGTTCCATTTCGGAATCCTCTGACAGAATCCAGTACCCAGTTCACAGAGCTTCAAGAACGGCAATTTGTCTGACAGAGTGAGCCCTTAACAAAGAGTCTTTAATTTATAGCTAATGACATTTAGGCAAAGACAAAAATTCAAGAGTCCTTCCGTATCATGTGACTAGTCAATGAAAGCTGAGCTAGAACCAGTTTCTCCAGATGCTAATGTGCTGGATAGACAAATGAAGGGGTAATAGTTTCACTAAAGGCTGGCTTTAAGTGAGTCGGAAACTCTAGAGGCTATACATGCTAGCTTTAATGAAACTGTAATCTCTCTCTCTCTCTCTCTCTCTCTCTCTCTCTCTCTCTCTCTCTCTCTTTGTGTGTGTGTGTGTGTGTGTGTGTGTGTGTGTATGTGTGTGTGTGAAGACCACCAATCTGGCCCGTGACAGTCAATAACACACTCAAATAAAAATCTCCTAAAGTTCAAAGGTCTTTATCGAAATTTCATTCTTATTCTCCAGATAATCTTCTCAGAGATTTCTCAAGATATATGTGCCCCCTCCCCAGTGTCTAGATAGAAAAATGCTCAAATTTTTCAAGAAAAAATTTAAGTCAAAGAAAGTTTAATAATTGGTCCCAGCAAACCCGATGAACTACGACTGTATGGACAATGGTATGTAGTTGCTTAAATAGGTGTTGGTTTACCTATTTATAATGTCAGTTCCTATGTGCTAAATATACCAGCAGTTGACAATCCACTAAATCTCAAAAAAAAAAAAAGGTGCCAAACACATTCAGGTAAACAACACCAGGGTGGTTGTCCTCTGGCCACCCTAACTTGGCATGGAAGAAAATTTGGACTGGGAATTTAAACACAGTTAGGAAAAAAGCAGCAGACAGGCAGACAGACGGGGTGGAAGTTGTGGGGGAGGGCAAGGGAGAAAGAGGAGCTCTCATTGAGTGGAAAGTATGTAAAATAATCTATGCAGTGTGAAACCAGAGTCAACACATCTGATCTTGGACTCCAGTTAGCCTCTCTCCCTTCCTAGGCAGTGAGAGGTGATTCAACCATGTCACCTCCCTTACCAAAACAGGAAGCTAAATGGAGATTGCATGACCCCCTCCCCACCCCCAACAAATTTGCACGAAGGCTTTCAGCAATTGACTTTGCCTGTGGTGCAACCTGAGATGTTTTCAGGTCGAAATCCTGAACAGTCACAAATTTAAATAGCAGAATAAAATATAAGGCAACAGCATACATACACATTCTGTTTTGATTGTTATTTGCCAGAGATGGCAAACCAGCCATAGTTGTGGCTTGTAAAGGCTTGACAACTAAGTTCGGCACACTTCCTGTTCAAGCAATGAGAGAGGATCCCCGCACACCTCCCAAGACATTCCTGAAGTCCTGTGCAGATAGACCAGCAGCTTAGAGAGGGGACCAGGCAGACAGCAGGAGAATTTCAGTCCTGAGAACTGAGGAAAGTCTCAAGGCCAGCTATCTCCCCAAATCAAAGCTAACCCCTTCTCTTAGCAACTCCAACCCAACTAGAGCAATTATTTTTAAAGGGAACTAGGGAAATGGGAGGGGACCTTAATTTTTGAAACCCAGAAGGCATCCTACAATCTTACTAAACAATCGGTCTGGAGAGTGATTCCCAAACTTAAGAGAGATCACAAGTGTTAACTGGCCCGGGCATCCCCACAGGTCTGGATTCAGACATTTTAGAGTGGGGATGAACTTTTACCAAGTTTGGGAGCAACTGCTTGCTGCTGTTTCTGCTGGATATGAGGGAATGGAGGGGACATGGGGTGGAGCAGGCACTGGGCTAAATGTTAAAAAACAGAACTGTCCATCACTCAAGGACTTAAGTGCACCAAGGAATAAAGAAGGGTTCACAAGTTTTATTGTGAGCATGGAAAGGTCGAGCAGCCCGGACACCTGGAGAGGCAGAGAAAGCCTTTGACTTCACTGAACAGAACAGAAGGACGCTTTGTGTACGACCCAGGTGTGGGGACTCTCTCTTCCCCCCTCTGTTCTGGGCACCCTGAGTGACTTAGGGAGTATCCACAGCAATTCTTAGCTGTTTACCCGCGGGACAGCAGCTTTGGCTTTCCTCCCCGGAGCAAAACAACCCAGACCCAGGATGTAAACAAACGCCCAGCAGGCGGCTCAAAGCGCTCGCCCACAGGGTCTGGCCCAGTGACCTTGCTGGGTGGCCTTGGACCCTAGTGGCCAGCGTGGCCGCGTCCTGTGCCCAGCCGCCCACGTATAGTCGCGACTTCGCCGGCCCCTTCCACAGTCATGATCCACTCACCCACAGCTGGAGTGCTACCGGCAGGCGCCAGAGGCACCCCGAGGCCCGGGTGGCGGGGCCAGGCAGCCAGCAGGCAGCAGAGGAAGGTGGCCAGGAACGCCATCGCGAGCAGCGGCCACTGCCCTGGGAGGCTAGGCGAGGGCTAAGGCGCCGCAGGGACCACAGGCCCTGGGGCTGGCGAGGAGGCCAGAGCCGATCCGGGTGTAGACGCCCAGCAGATCACGTGCAAGACAGAGTTCCCCAGAGCTTGAGTTCTCCTGACCTTCTAGGCTCTGGTTTTATTTTAATAAACTTCCTTATTTCGTAGATCAGTGGGAAGGAATGTTCTTGAACCAACCGCATACACGTTGTCTTCCCTGAACCCCAGGAACGCCTACCTGACCGGGACAGGTGCGGTGCGGAGAGGGGCGGGGAAACCCTGGCGTGTGGTTAAGGCATTTGAATAGCATAATTGGTTTGGATTTCTCAGTATCTGCACTACTGGGGACTGAGAATAGAAATGCAAATTCTGATGGATCTGAGGAATCAACTCTGGCTGGCTCTGATGAATCAACACTCCAGGAATGGAACCTAGCAGTGGGTTGGCTTCACAAGCCTCCAAGGTGATGGGTAGGTGGAGTTTGCGAACCATGTCCCAGTTTCACCAGCCTGAACCCCCCCCCCCTCGCTGAATTGCAGCATGTCCTCGTCCAGTATACCTGGTAAATACACGTAGACTGTTGATTTTACACTCCAAAGGAAGTTTTGCAAACTATATTGGCAAAGAAGCCCGAATCCCCGAACTGTGTTTGACGTGTATTCTGTGTTCTTTCTCTTGGCATTTATGAGTATTCGGTCTCTTTAAAAATAAAGCCAATAATTTTAGTTTATAAGGCGGCATGGGATTGGTATGGTGAAGATCACACCTTTGAGAAGGTGACCTCATAAAAGATGGGAGCTGGAGTTCCTTGAAGCTGTGCTGTATTAAAAGATCCTGCAAATTCTACCATGTAGCTGAGTTCCAGGGTATTCACTGTGGGAAGATGGATGTTTTAGGTGGAAAGCCAAAATTTTCCTGGGATATCTTGGCCCCTTTAATAATCAGGTGCCCTAACTTATGTATCTATCATATCATCCTCATGACTAACAGAGTAACTTGGAACACATGGCCAAGCTTAAACTCTTTAGATCCCTCAAACGCTAAAACCAAGAATACTACATCTAAACCCTATAGATTTATCCACTTGGGTTTATATTCTTTCCACCACAAATATAACTGGTAAATGTGTTGCTTTATTATTTTCTTCATTCTGTAACTATACAATTTTCTATAACCTATTCCATGCCGGAATAATCATTTAGAGAAACCTGAATCTGGGTTCCCGGCCTAGGTTCACACATATATGGTTCAGAATACATTAATTTTATATTATATTTTCTTCGAGTAATTTTACCAAAGTATTTTACAAACACATTTTCCATCCAAGAAAACCTTATTTCATATCCTGAATAATTTAACCATTGTATCTCATGAAAAGAGTTTTTAAGTGAACACTAACTCCCTTTCCAAATCCAGCCAGACTCCTCCCAGGTGTGCAATAACTTTCCAGGGTGACTCAAACAGTAGAAGAACCACAGTGGGTTCCAGTGGCCGGCGAAGTGGCCTCTGCAGTTTCTCAGTCTTCAATCTAAAGAGCATAGGAAACGTGAACCAAAAAAGTTCACAGAGGGCAAATTATCAAATTGTTAAGACAGCATGAGTGTGAATGTCTTAATAAAAATAAGCAAATTATATTTTTACTAATTCTTGTGGGGACCCTGGAAGTTTTTATTCTAGCTGGCTGAGGCTATACTCAGTTATTCAGGACTTAAGTGTAGCCCAGAACATTTAGAACAAGAATCTTTTAAAGGCAAAGACCATATCCTGCTATCTCACTTTGCAGCTGCAGGGGTAGGCTTAAGAGAAGCTAAGATAAATTAGCTGGGGCATCTTGGCCTCAGGTCCTAAAATAGAGTGGGGTAATTTTCCACTGAATTCTCTAGTAAGGAGATCAAATTCTAGTTAAAACTGAAATGGCCTCTGCAAAAATACAAGATGAAAACCTTTGCACTGTCTTGCCCTGCCACAAGCTTTCTTTTTGTTTTCAATTTCTAAGACATATTACAGGAAGTTCATTGGTTGTGAAATAACTTTTTCAGTTAAGAAGCAAAATGCAAGCTAGGTATTGGTGCTGCACATCTTTAATCCCATTACTGGGAGAGGGGGACACAGGCAGGTGGATCTCTGTAAGTTGGAGGCCAGCCTGGTCTACAGAGTGAGTTCCAGGACAGTCAGATCTAGAGCTGTAACAGAGAAGAACCAGGTCTTCAAAAAAAAAAAAAAAAAAAAAAAAAAGAAAGAAAAGAAAAGAAAGAAAGGTAAGAAAAGAAAAATAGAAAAATAAGAAAAAATAAGACAAAGAAGTAGCAGTAGCAAAATTAATGCAACACACACATTGTAAAACCTTTGAAATGTTTGAAATCCTAAAATCTACTTCACTTCCCATTGTTTTGCTTTCTAGTCAGTAGGACGTTCACAGCTTCAGTTTCCCACATGTGGCTATACCAGCAATGGAAGCCTACATCTGTAGGTCTCCAGGCCCCAAGAATTCCTGTTCATCTGAACCAGGGAAAATGGGAGATAAAATCAAAAAGAAAAAAAAAATCCAATAACTAACTGTCAGTGCTTGTTATTGTTAGACCCCCGAAAACTCAAGTTTCCGGGGTCTCAGGCCAGGTTCGCGGTCACCCCAATCACCAGGCGGATTCTAGAGCTTGCTGCAAACTGCACGAGGCTTTATTGTAATTTAACGAGTTAACCCCATGTTAGCTCGGGTCTT